CATCTGCCGGAGCGCGGCGTTCGACCTCGGCCGAGATCGCGCCGCCCCCGCCGGGCGGAGAGAGAGAGAGGCGCACCCCGCTCGCAGGGGGGCGGCTGGAGCTGCCGCGGGGCACGGCGCATCGCTGCCGCGGGGGCGGCTCGGGGGGCCCTTCTGAGCCAGAAATTCTCCTGGCGAAGGTGCCAACCATAATAATTATGCAGTTGTGGGTGCCGTCATTGTGAATAGCTGCTTCGGTGAAGCTCCCTGTGGGGCCACGAAGCGCTGCACTGGGCGGGGGGGAACGCTGTACTGTTTGCGTGGTGTGCCGAATTGGGTTTCCGGGGCGCATGCGGACGGTCCCACTGGGGGCTTCGGTGGAGCTCCCTATGGGGCCACGAAGCGCTCTACTGAGTGAGTGAAACTGCCAAATTGGGTGTGCGGGACGCATGCGGACGGTCCCACTGGGGGCTTCGGTGGAGCGCCCTACGGGGCCACGAAACGCTGCACTGCGCGGGTGAAAATGCCAAATTACATATCCTGGACGCAAACGGACGGTGGCACTGGGGCCTTGGGTGGAGCCCCATATGGGGCCACGAAGCGCTGCACTAGGTGGGTGAAAATGCCAAATTGGGCTTCCGGGACGCATGCGGACGGGGGCACTGGGACCTTCGGTGGAGCTCCCTATGGGGCCACGAAACGCTGTACTGCAGTGGGTGTGCGGGACGCATGCGGACGGTAGCGCTGGGACCTTCGATGGGACTCCCTATGGGGCCACGAAACGCTGTACTGGGCGTGCGGGACGTATGCGGACGGTAGCACTGGGACCTTCGGTGGAGCTCCCTATGGGGCCACGAAACGCTGTACTGGATGGGTGAAACGCAAGGAGGATGGGGAGGAGGGCCACGAAACTTTGTACTGGGCGTGCGGGACGCACGCGGACAGTAGTGCTGGGACCTTCGGTGGAGCTCCCTATGTGGCCACGAAACGTTGTACTAGGCGTGCGGAACGCATGCGGACTGGAGCACTGGGACCTTCGGTGGGGCTCCCTATGGGCCCACGAAACGCTGTACTGGGTGGGTGAAACGCAGGGAGGAAGGGGAGGAGGGCCACGAAACGCTGTACTGGATGTGCAGGACGCATGCGGACAGTAGCACTGGGACCTTCGGTGGAGCTCCCTATGGGGCCACGAAGCGCTGTACTGGGCGTGCGGGACGCATGCGGACGGTAGCACTGGGACCTTCGGTGGAGCTCCCTATGGGGCCACGAAACGCTGTACTGAGAGGGTGAAACGCAAGGAGGAGGGGGAGGAGGGCCACGAAACGTTGTACTGGGTGTGCGGGACGCACGCGGACAGTAGTGCTGGGACCTTCGGTGGAGCTCCCTATGTGGCCACGAAGCGCTGTACTGGGTGTGCGGGACGCATGCGGACGGTAGCACTGGGACCTTCGGTGGAGCTCTGTATGGGGCCACGAAGCGCTGTACTGAGAGGGTGAAACGCAGGAAGGAAGGGGAGGAGGGCCACGAAACGCTGTACTGGGTGTGCGGGACGCATGCGGACGGTGGAGAGGAGGAGGGGGCAGAGGAGGAGGGGAGAACGCGGGGACCGTTTCTTCAAAACGAGGACCCAACACTACAGGATGGTTGGGAAAAAGAACTGCCGGCATCTCTTAGAGGGCCGTTGCCTACCTCCGCCGGCTTCCACGGGCCTTCCGCCAGCGGAGGCGGCTTCGTTCTGCTTCCGCCGCCTCCCGCCGCCTTCCACCGAGGAAGATGGCAACTTTTCGCCCTCGAAGGCGAGGCCTTCGCCCCATGTCGTGCCGCTGCCGCGTCACACAGCGCACGGCTGCCATGTAAAACGAGGCCCAGAACGGGACGAAATCGGACCGGGACAAATCAGAGGTCTCCGAGATCTGGCGGCTCTGGAAAATTTATCGAGCGCCGCGGCCTTCTCTGAGCGTTCTGGAACGCATTGGAGCAATTCTGTCACGTTGCTGGGCAAGTCTGACCATGTCGTGCTGGTCATGGTTGCGAATTCTTCTTCGCAAGATCTGCTGCAGCCAAGGTGTGTATTCAAGCATGTACCTGCTGCGCGCTCCACAGACGTCGAGGCCGATTCCTGATACTGTCAACCCGTATCATAAGGATGCGCGGTCAGGATGCAGGGGCCTTGGAGGCCCATGTGACCGTTTCTCGAACGAGGCTGGCCAGCGAAAGTCGCCAAGGATGGGCCGAGGAGGCAGGGATGGGCCGAGGAGGCCAGGCTGGGCCGAGCCACCGAGGATGGGCCGAGGAGGCGGGAGTCGCCGAGGATGGGCCGAGGTGCCCTTGGGACGGTTGCCCATCCTTACTATGCGGGCTGACTGGGGTTCAGGGGCGAATCCCCCCCCTGCGATTTCACAATTTTCGGTTTGCTGCTCCTTTTTCGCTTTTGGGGGCTCGTCATTCGCTTTCTTCCTTTGGAGGGTGGGGCTCTGTCTGAATCGTTTCCGTTTGGACTTCCTGTTCTCTCGTGCGTCCC